TGGCACACATCTTTAATCCCAGCACTTGGGAGGCAGAGGCAGGTGGATCTCTGTGAGTTCAAGGCCACCCTAGTCTACATAGTGAGTTCCAGGACAGCTGGGGCTACAGGGAGACCCTGCCCCCAAAAAAGAAAAAAAAATAAAAAATACAGACTAAGCAGATTCCAGGAGATTCACTTCAGGGGTACCCTGGGCCATTTTAGTAAAATAGGAAGCTAGGGGCTGGAGGGATATCAGTGGTTAAGAGGACTTGCTGCTCTTACAGAGGACTGGAGTTCAGATCCCAGCACCAACATCAGGGATCTCAGAAACCACCTGTAACTCCAGATCTAGGAGACCTGATGCCCTCTTCGGCTCTCAGTGGGTGCCTGCACACACATGCACACACACACACACACACACACACACACACACACACACAAAGAGATACACATTAGATGAGAGAGACAGAGATTGAAAGACACACACAGAGATACACATATACAAATAAATTAAAAACAAAAAACCAGGACTAGTATTCTGGAGCCTTGATATTAAAATTAAAGGAGTTGTATTGCAGGACTGTTCATGGGGAAAGTCAGGCTTATATGTGTTCACACCAAAAGGAAACTCTGCCTACCAATCCAAGTCCCTACTACACAGAGGCCACATTATGCCTGGTTTGTTGCTGTTGTTTTGCTTTGTTATCCTTCAGTCAGGGTCTTGCTGCTATCATAGCTCTGCCTAGCCCGGTCCTTGCTATGGAGCCTAGAATGGCCGTGAACTTGCAACAACCCTCTTGGCTCAGTCTTCTGAGTGCTAGAATCACAGACATTCCCCTTGCTTATGTAGAGGTTTACAGACTGAGTTGCTTCCTCCATGGACAAGTCTGGCTGGGGTTCAGGGCTGAATCCTGCCACTTGTTTAGTTAATGCTCCTGTAGTCCCCTGGGAGGCCAGATGGGAAAGCCCATAAGACCCCAACCTGACTTCACCACACAGGAAACAGGGCTGTGTTGCAGACAAGCTGGGGTTAATATGAGATACTTCGGTCCTTCATTCATTAAAGTGCCTTAGGATAGAAACTGACCCTGTATAGATTTCTTGGCTGCAATTGTTATTTTATATCAAGGTTGAGTCTCCCATTTATATATAAACTTACCTGAAAATACTTCTTCCAAATTTTAGACATACAGAGTGGAATTTAGCTTTGTGGGTTCCTTTTGAAGAAATCCTGAGAAAATGCCAATCATGTAACCATGAAAATAAATGGTTTTCTTCCTCAAACTCTTGCTAAGAAGAAACGTTAAAGTCATAAGTGACCTCTATGTTTACAGCAGAAACTAAACCAACGTGTAGATTGGCTGATTCGTATTACCATGGCTTTTCTAAAAAGACATAAGGAGTTTGGGGACTATTTCAATCTCCTTTCAGGGATATGAAAATAAGCTCTGGTGATTTGAATCAATTTTCCCTACATATCCCACTCTAGGACATGGTGGTCATCTACAATAACAATTCATCTCCCCTGAAGATTTTTATATTATAAATGTATTGCACAGTTAATTGATATACAGGTCAAATCCCATTACAACAAATAGCATGCAGCCAAAAGCTCTCTTTCTAATAAAAAATGATTTTTGAGCCCCGGGCAATACTTCTCTAATTTTCATACTACAAAAGAAATTGAACCTTTAGTAGTAATGGATTTGACACTGAGAATTAAAATGAATGCCCAGAGATTGAAACAGGCAGGGAAAACAGAGATGCAGGCAGAAGTGAGAGAGACAAAAATGTTGGAATTACGTTTAAGGAAATAACGGGTGGCATAGAAATTGCCCTGACGCACTCATCGCTGTGATAATCACTGTTGTTTTTATAGAACCCTCTGCTCCAGAGAATTTTCAGATACATTTCCTCAGTTATAGACTCGGTGACCCTGTAAGTTCAGCATGGTACTCACATTGCTGTGTCATAAAAGAGAAATCTGAGACTCAGGAAGGTTAAGTCAGCAGAACTCTGTCTAACATTTCAGAGGCACTCAGGTCGAAATCGTCTTTAAGTTTTTAAAAATATTTTTATTGATTATTTTGATGTGTATGTGTGTATTGCCTGCATGTAGGTTAAGTGCACCCATGTGGTGCAAGGCCCTCGGAGGTCAGAAGAGGCTGTCAGATCCCCTAGGACTGAAGTTACAGACAGTTGTTAGCTGCCGTGTGGGTGCTGGGATTCGAACCCAGGTCTTCTGCAAGAACAACCAGTGTTTCTTGACCGCTGAGCCATCTCTCCAGCCCCTAATCTTTAAGTTGTTTTTTATGATGGAAAAGAGTCACTTAATTTTCCTTCATGGAGTTGGAGAGATGGATTACTGGTTAAGAGTGCCAGATGCTCCTCCACAGGACCCAAGGACACACACACATACACACATGCACACAAATTCATATGTGCACACACGTGCACACACAAAAATGTACTGCACGTACACCACACATACACACGTATGCACACATGCACACATTCACATGCGCACCCATGTATACATGCATGAACACTCACACATGCACTGCACATACATACACAGTACACAAATTCATATGTGCACACACACATGTACATACATGCACACATACATCTATAGATACATAGTGTGTATACAACTGGATTTTTGCTTCTAATTGTTCATGTTATATCACTCATGACACTAGCTATCTAAGTGAAAGGCAGGAAACAACAGCTTTTGGTGACATTACTGTCTGTGTGTCACGTGGATAGAATAAATGACGTGGTATCAAGATTAAGAAAAAATAGCTCTCGTAGTTTTAGCTTTTTCTCAGTAATTTCTGTCTAAAAGCAAATAAGTAATCTGGAGTACGGTGGTGCCAGTGGTGTCGGTGGTAATGGTGGTGACAACAGTGAGCATGTTACGTGTGTTGTATGTACATACATTTAAAAACATGTTAGCACTGTGGATGTTTTAAAAGTCAGCTTTTTAGAAGCCAGTTTGTAAAATGTGCTGGTGGCAGCTGCACTGCTAAGTGTCACGTTTTCCTTTCTTAGAAGCCTTCCCATCGCTTACTCTGTCGTATAAGCCTTCCCATCGCTTACTCTGCCTCCGTTTCCCAACATCTGGTTACATAAAAATCATACTCAGTTCACTTGCAGAAGCTCACTTCCAAAGGAAGAAAATTTGTTCTTTTAGGTAGGTTGTCAAGTTTCCCAGAAGCCTGACTCAGCTTGAGAAACGACACTGAACATGTTTGTAGTTTGCCCCAATGCTTGACTGGAGACGTAGAAAATAATTGCCTTATTTATTTAAGTGGAATAATATTTTACATAGAAAGGTGCCTGCGTAAGAATTAAAGTCATACATGTTCTCATAGTTTTTATCGCAATTGTTCAAGTGAAGGTTCAAGAGAGGAATCTCAGTTTCCAAGCCCTGGGCTTTGCATCTGTGCATGATGCCTTAGCCTTTGCATCCTCTGGGGCCTATGGAACAGGAGACAGCACAGTTAGTGCTCCTCTCAGACTTGACAAGTGGCCTTCCAGCTCATATTCTGGTCATTGGTATTGTTTATGCAGCTCACGTAAACTTCACGTATCTTCGAAATCTCTTGCACGGGTTAGAGCCGCTGTACCACTACTTTGCTGTGATTTCTCTCTGAATGCTGTCGATCCCAATTCTTAGTATTGCAGTGCTCAGCCTGAGAGAACGGCACAGAACTTCAGCAGAAGAGGAGATGTTAATCAAACCCTGATGTCCCACGGACACACCAGTGGAGTGGAGGACTTCATCGAGCTGGTGAGAGCGTTTTCCATCATTTAGGAAAGGATTTAGCCAACAGTGGATGTCATGAGGGGAACGCGGCTTATTCTTTCTTCAAGAAACTTGCCAAATGTTTAGCTCAGGATTTCATGAAGTAGTCATATTCCTATGTCATTATACACATATCACTTGTAATATATATGTATTTATATATAATATTCCTTAATAAATATATGGAACTATAGTACCAGGAACACACCTCAGACAGTATGTTTATACATAAGCTGAAACATAATACTCCAGTTATGCTATTCATAAATATATGTGTTCTAATTATGTGTTTGTATTCAAACATATAAAATATATAAAGAGTAGCTGGAGAGATGGCTCAGCAACTAAGAACACCTGCCGCTCTTGCCAAGGACCAGTGTTTGGTCGCCAGAACCCATTTTGGGAGACTATCAACCACCTGTAACTCCAGTTCCAAGCACTATCTTCCTACCTCCGGAGGTACCCACATAGACATGGCATACACTCACCCAGACACACAAACATACACAGAAATAAAAACAAATCTTTTTAAAAGTACAAATACATCTTCCTTTATTTAGATCAATTTTAGAGTCTCAGCAAAATTCAGAGGAGAAAAAGGGAGATGACCCATGCACCTCTAGGCCTCTTGTATCTACAGGTTTGCCTCTCCTCACACCTTCCATCATAGTGATATATCTATATAGACAGATAGATATAAATCCAACACATACACATATCTGTATATATGTATATGTATGTATGCATGTGTATACATATATTCGGAACAGGGTAATTTGTAGCCCAGGCTGGCCTAGAACTCAGTACATAGCTGAGGATGACCTGGTGCTTTTAATCCTCCTGCTTGTACCTCCCAAGCACTGAGATTACAGATGAAGTGCTGTACCCAGTTATGTGGTACTAAGGATCAAACCCAGGGTCAGTTATACTAGGCAGGTACTCTACAAACTTAATTACATCACCAGCCCTATTACATGTTTAACACCTTCCATGAATGAGTCCTTGTCATTAAATATCTGTAGTTTAAAGTTCATTTTTAGTATTGTACGTTCTGTGGGCTTGGACACCTGTATAATAACACACATCCATCATTTAATAACATAGAGAAGTGAAAACCTACCCATTACTACCCTGTCTCAGCCCTAGCCAATCACCTTTGACAAAACTCTTTCCCTCTCTTCCTCTCTCCATCTCCCTTATTTTTTAAAACCAGCTAGGCATTATTTATCTCTCCTCTCTCTCTCTCTCTCTCTCTCTCTCTCTCTCTCTCTCTCTCTCTCTCATTGTTGATGCTGTCGATCCAGCCCATGGTCCTTCTCATGCTAAGCACACCCTCTTCCACTGAGCGGCATCTTCCAAACATAGACGCAATCTTAATCACGTTGTCTTCTGGGTTGGATTTTATGGCTCTTTATGTTTGGATTATAATCCTTTAGCAAGCAGAAGTGTCTTTTGAAAATATTTTCTCTCAGTACCTGTGGCTTGTCCTTTTCTACTCTTGTCTTTTAAAAGCAGGGAATTTTAGTTTTACTTCAGTTCAGCTGATTAATTCTTTCTTTCTCAAATCTTTCCTTTGGTTTTGTGTCTAAAATCATTGAAATACGTAAAATCATGTTGGTTTTCTCGAATGCTGTTCTCTAAGAGTTTTATAGTTTGCATTTATGTTTCTGGGCTGTCTGTTCTGTTCTGTTCTGTTCTGTTCTGTTGACCTAGTTATCCATCTTTTTAATCCAAAGCCGGCTGTCACTGTAACTGCAGCACTACAGTAAATCTCAAAACTCGGGTAATAGCGGACTCAAGTTCTGTTCTTTAAGACTGTGTGAGCTATTTCGTATCTTTTGCCTTTTCATATAAACTTTAGACTCAGTTTTTCAACATCCACAAAATAACTTGACAAGATATGAGTTGAGTTGTCACCGAATCTATAGCTGTTGGAGATAACTGACATCTTGACAATACTGAGTCTTCCCATCCGTGAACACGGAGTATCTCTTCATTTAGGCCATTTTTGATCTCCTTCTTCAAGAACTGTGGATATAGCTCAGTGAGATAGCAGGCGTCTAAGATAGGCAAGGTTCTGTGTTAGTCCTAGTGTCCCCCATAGAAAGAGTGACTTCATTCCTCAGCGTTTTGTAGTTTTTTCATATATATTTGCGTCTATAGGTATAAATATATATGACACATACATGTAATAAAGCCGACATGCTTCATTAGATGCATTATCACATTTTTCAGGGTGCTAATGTAAATGATATTAGAATTTCAATTTCAAATTCCATTTCTTTACTTATATAAAAAAGATTGACTATTGAACATCCCCCTTCACTCTATAATTTGCTAATTACTTTCAGGAAAGAACTCTTTCATTTTTCCTTTCTTCAGTTTTATTTTTAAGATGGCATCTTCCTGTAGCCACAGCTGGCCTGGAAATTGCTACATAAACCAGGCTGGCCCCTATCTCACAGAGATTCATCTCCCCCTGCCTCCCAAGTGCTTGGATTAAAGGCATGCACCACCATGCCTGGCTCTCATTTTTCTTTTTAAAAAATCAATTCTTTAGGATTGTCTACATAGACAATTACATTTCCTACGAACAAAGAAGGTTTTATTTCTTCCTTTCCAAAAGGAAACATTTGTTTCCTTTTCTTTTTTGATTAAAGTACCTAGTAATGAATATATGTATATAATATATAACTAATAAAAGAGAAACGGATATTATTCAAAATAGAATAACTTTCTTCACACAAATATGATATTTGGTAAATTTATTATAACATTTTAAAATATTATATAGGCGAGACTAGAGGCAAAAATCTTTTTAAAATATTTTATTTACTTTTATTATATGTGTGTGGGTGCATTGCCTGCATGTACGTAAGTGTATTCATGTCATGCAATGTCTGCAGAGGTCAGAAGAGAGTGCCACCATGTGGGTTCTGGTAATCCAACCTGAGTCCTCTGCAAGAGTAGCCAGTACTCTTAACCACTGAGCTGTCTTTCAAGCCCCTAAGGCAAAAATATTTACCGCTAAAAAATATTTTCAAAAATAAGATACACTCTTGAGTCCCTGAGGTAAAATAAATTATCCCTGTGTAACTCAAATTCAAGTTTCCCTTACCCATATCACTGGACACATCATCACATCATTATGCTATTCATCTAACAGCTAAAAGTGTTAATATTTATCCCAATAATTCTCTTCCTATGTGAGTTAAGTGAATTCTATGTGAAACTCACAGAAGAAACATAAGTGCAATGAAAAGTTCTAGATCTTCCTGCCTAGCTTCAGTCAGGTCCTCTTCCCCTTGGTCGCTTCCCTCCCTACTACCTGTATATTTGATATCAACAACTGATCGAGAGTGGATCAAGTTTTCACAAACATAGCTATGCTACTTGTGTAGATGACTTGGAGTTATTTGAGTCACTTGTGACCTAAGACCTTGTATCTTTACATATCTTAGTCTACACCAACGGTAATAGAACTTGAAATTTACTTAGAAGGAAAATAGGAAAGCGGTTTCATCCAGAATCTATTAGTAGAATCTAAATTTTTCTCAGAGACTAAAAGCAGGCTAAATTTTTCTTGCTAGATTATGGATTATTGAATAATGTGCTAAATATTCAGAGTAAAGATAGGAAATATTACAATTATTTCTTCCATTAAGTAAATGGATAAACATTAGCATTTTTCTGGTTAGATTTAAGGTAGTAATAAACAAAAGGATGACTGTATCATACTAAAAGTTCCAGAGTTAATAAATTATGTTTAAAATTCTGTAAACGGAAAGCAGTATTTTGTGATTTTAATATGGAACTTACCAAATTTTGCTACATGTTACACTTTATTATAGAGTGTAATAATATCGGTAGTGATCTTTAAGACATATTAAATCAGTTCTTTAAATGTCATGTGGTGTAACCTTACTAACAGTGTAAGTTTTAAATTATTCACAAGCTAAGTAAGTCCTCCCTTAGGGAACCCCATTAGATTATTTTAGAGGGTTCAGCTAAAAGGAGATTTATTTTCCTTAGTAAAGGAAGACTAGATCCTGAATGATGTCCACAAAAGCAGACTCATGGTTGAAAGCCAGGGTGAAGAAGGTCCCTTCCGCACACTGGTGATTCATAATCCTGTCTTTGTGGTATTTCTGTTAACAGGCCAGAGGTTTTGTAAATGACTTATCCATGGTATGTGAACCAGTTTGGACTTTAGGACTCCATCAAACACTACTGTTAATACTAATCATTGGAAGATGGCTTCTGCCGATTGGAGGCACCATCACCAGAGACCAACTCTCAGAACTTCTTCTAACCTTTGTGGGGACAGCTGCTGATATACTGGAATTCACCACCGAGACTCTGAAGGAAAATAATGTCAGGTAAGGTCTAGCATCCCGGGTCACGGCCACACATCTGACTCTTAGCTTTTTTATTTGTATTTTGCATGAATAAGGATTTTTAAAATATCCTTATGTCAAGGCTAGGGAGATGGCTCAAATGATAACTGTTTACCATTAAGCATGACGATCTGACTTTGGATCCCCAGCACCCATGTAAAGGCCAGGCATGCGGGGGGCAGCTTAAGAGCACTGGCTGCTCTTGTAGAAGACCCCAATTTGGTTCTCAGCACCCACATGGTGGTTCACAACCATCCATAAGTCCAGTTCCAGGAGATCCAACTCGCTCTTCTGGTCTCTGTGGGCATTGCATAAATGGGGTATAATTACATACATGTAGACAAAATACTTGTAAAATAAAAATAAATTTTTAAAAAGCTAGGTATGGTATCATGTGGTGTGCCTATGATTTTAGCACTAGAGAAATGGAGGCAGGAAATGTCCGGGGCTCACTAGTCAGCCATTCTTGCCAACTCAGTGAGCTCTCGGATCAGAGAGATTCTGTCTCAAAAAATATGATGGGGACTGAAAGATGAAGACACCCAGTGTCAACTTCTGGCCTCTGTGTACACTTGCACTCATGTACACACACACCAGCACACACATATGCACACACAAGAACATGTACTCACACTCATACCACATGCACAAAGATTTTAAAATGTCTTCATGTGCAATGTTAGGATCATATAGTTTACTGCTATTTAGATATCCTAAAAACCAATTGTGAAAAGGAAAATTCATGAAGGAAGCTTCTGCCCCAGAAAGAGAGAGACAGATAATACCCAGCCTGGGTAAGAGCGGAAGACCTCCATGTATCCGCACCACAGGTCAGGTAGGGCCAGGGTGGGGCCATAGTGACTGTGGGTACCTGAAAATCCCCTGGTGTAGGATGGCCACCTCTGTTTCCTCTCTCACATCCTCAACTGTCTAGTGCACAGCCAAGCATAACATTTTCTTGTAGAGGACAACATAGCTCTGATTTCAAGAGACATGGAGAAATTGTTCCCCTCTCCAGTTGAAGAATTTACATTTCCTGATGTGAATAGAGAATGGGCTAGATGAAATTTTATTGTACTAAATTTTATTTTTAGTCAGTTTTGTTCAAAGCACCCAAAGGCTTTCTGGTATAGATACCTATAAATTAAAACTTATTGAGTTGGTACTTTTATTTTTTGCCACAAGCAAATAAACTCAGAATCCATGATCACATCTGTTTATGGAACTACTTTCTTCCCATTAGGGATTTAAATCTCAGTGCCTGAATGTACTTTAAGCTTGGGTTGTTTTGCACTGTGCTATAAAAATAAATTGGAACGAGGCTGGCTTTTAATGCCCCAGTTTGCTTTATGCCGCGCTTCTCCCAAAAACAAAACACAAAGCAGAGAAAAACGTACTAACTTATTGAATAAACTTAATTTCTCAGTCATAGTTCAAATTGTATTTATAATCCTGGGATATCGTTACAAGATCACTCCTTAATTTGTACATACTAATTTTTCTTTTAGCTCATTAAGCTGACATATTATTTTTTAAAAGAATCCAATGTGAATTGAACCACTGTACTCAGTGTTTATTTTAGTTGTATAGTTCAAAGCCTTACAGTTGGTTAATGCTTTTCTTTGTATGATGCTTTCAAATACTTTAAAGATAATTATAATACAATGTAATTACTAGAAAAACGTGGCTAAATCATGACAGAGCAGATAAAATAATAAATGTAGATGTAGCAGAGACTTGACAGTATAAAGATAACACATTTCTCCTATCCAAAAGTAAATACATGCATGATAAATAGCCAGAGAGCAGGGAGTACGGGAGAGGAAAGGGTGTTTAGGAGGATGTGTTTTATGGGATTCGTCATAAAAAAGAGAAAAATGCCAAGCTCAGTTACCTTGACAGGCTCTATGAGTCCCATCCAGAACTACCATCAATGGGCAATTTATAGCTCCATTTGCCAATAAATGGTGATTACTAAATAAGTTTATTTAACTACTCAGCCCATAAAACAGTGCCCTTGGAAATCACTAGGAATTTTTAATTTGCTTGGTACTGATTTGTTATATAATATGTGCCAGACACTGAGCTAGGCAGAGCTGGGGAAGCAAATTATAAGCAAGTTATGAGCCAAGGAGCACACAGTTCAGCACAAACAGGATGCTTAATGGGACTGAGTCAATTACAGTTTGACCTTCTATCTGTAGGATCCTCATTCATGAATATAAGATATTCTAGACAATGATCCTCTACTGGAAGATGTGTGTAGATTACAGGTAAAAGCTACACCATGCTATGTAAGAACTTGGGTATCTACGGACTTTGGTATCAGTGGAATGTTCCTAGAATCAGTACCACAGTTACAGAATAGGATGTTTACTATAGATTCATTTTTATTTATTTATTTTTATTTTATGTCTATGAGTGTTTTGCCTACATGTTAAGTGTACTCATGTTGTGCAGTGCTCACAGAGGCCAGAAGAGGGCACCAGATCCCTGAAACTGTAGTTAGGGATGGTCATTAGCTACCATGTGGGTGCTCAGAATCAAACCCAGGCCCTCTGGGAGAGCAGCCGGTGAGCCATCCTTCCAGTCCCTATAGATTCATTTTAAGAGACTGTTTTCTGAATTGAAGAGTCTGTTTGTTTAACTCCTCCTAAAGTGAAAAGAAGCCATTACAGTGTACGAAGCATATTAACAGTAAGGCTCTGAGTTCTGATAGTCTGCACTCAAATAAATTACCTCAAATTTTCTCTACAGAAAAGAATGTTTTCTGTTTTGTAATACCCCTAGATTATGCCAGTGGCCTTTCTAATCTCTAGTCTGCTCCCATGTATCTCCATAGTGCAAATGCCCCCCACCCCCAAGGTCAAGTTCCAGAAACTATCCAGTTTTCCCCTCTCCCCAAAGCCTGATTTTATGTCTTAGATCTTATCTATTTCGTAAGAAATGATATTGCAAATGTCTATCCTGTGTGTGCCTGTGTCGTCCAGTCCAGAGGTTGACATCAGATGTCCTCCTTAGTCACTCTCTACCATAATTTTTGAAACAGTCTCTCACTGATCCTGAAGCTCACTGATTAAAGTAGACTACAGGGCCAGCAAGCCTCAGGCATCCTCCTGCCTCCTCCCGCAGCACCGGGTTGCGGAGGAAGCTGAGCTCAGCTTTTACATCAGTGCTGGAGCTCTAAGGTCAGGTTTTCGTGCTTGCAAACACTTCAGTGCCTGAGCCTTCTCCCCAGACCCAACTGGTTATCTTTACAAAGACCCCAGTCCTTTCCCATAGAGACAACGCTTTCTTCTTTTGAGCTGAGAAGGAAAATTGTGAATTAATTTAAGTAAAAGAAACATCATCAAAGAAATTGCTTCATGGGGGTCTGATCACCATTGCTTACTGTTAGAGCACGCCGTTTTCTCTTGTATCTTATGTTTGGGGCTGACATACTTAAGGGAAAATCTGTGCTGATGTCTCTATCACAGTGATGTCCGATCCTCTTAGAGTCTGGCTAATGCATTGAATTCCATTTTTGATGAAGCATCTGTTCAAACTTTGTCCATTTATGTTGTGTTACCATATTAATAAGTCCTAAAAGTTCATTATTGTATCTAGATACAGGTCTGTTGTTAGGTATATAAATGTAAACATTGCCTTTCTGTATGCAATTTGTTCTAATATGCAGTCTTTTGAACAACACAGTTTAAATATTTACATAATCCAAACATACAGCTTTTGCTCTTATGAATCATGTCACTTGAGAGAATAAATGAGAAAATCCAAAGGTGGAACCATCTTCTTATTTTCCTATGGAACTTTTTACTTCTACATTTTCCCATTACCCATTTGATTTAATTTTTAATGTACTGTTTGGAGTAAGTTTCAAAATTCCTTATTTATTTCTGGATTGGCCCAGATATCTGTTGTATTGTACGAGCTTGTACTAATTGTCTCAAGAAATATTTACTGGAAATATTCTTCCTGTGTTCAGTGGCCCTGGCATCTTTATCAAAAATCAGCTGACCACAGATGCAAGTCAATGCAGTGGAGCTGTGTTCCACTAGGGTTCGTGTTCACCGTTGTAGGCACGTCACACCATCATTACCATAGCTTACTTTCGATATGGGGCACTGTAAACCCTCCGTTATTGTGTCTAGATACAGGTCTGTCGTTAGTTATATAAATGTAAACACTGTCTTTCTATATGTTTTCTAAAATTTGCTTCTGCTAATCTAGGGCCTTTGTATTTCCATGTAATTGCTGTGAGTCTCTTGCCAAGTTCTATCCAAAATGGGGAAAACTTTGTGGTCTTAATAGAAATAGAGGTGAATTTAAGGGTCCGTTTGGGAATTCTTGACCTCTTGATATTATGAAGCTAATCTGTGAATGTAAAAACATCTCATTTAAATGTTCTTTGTCTTAGCAATGATTTTCAGTTTTCCATCAAATCTTTCTTTGCTTTTCTAAGTGGTCTTCCTGAATCTTTTATTATCTGTACTGCTCTTACTAATTTCATTTTCACCTTTTAATTCCTTTAATAGAAACACAATCTACCTCCATGATGACTTTATAACCAGCAATGATGGGAAACTTGGCCACTTCTTTGATCTCTGCTTTTCCTACATGGATGATCATGCTATTTCTGAAGACAGTTTTGGTGTTTCCTTGCCTATGTGCCTTTACTTTCTTTTTCTTAGCATATTGCGCTGGCTAGCACCTTTTCCCAGTGTTGGATAGAGCAGTCTTAGACTGAACATTCATCTCGAGAGATAAGCACTCTATTTTTATCTCTTAAGAATTGTTGACATTACCTTTTACAAGATGTTCTTTATGAACTTAAGGAAATTTCATTTCCAGATTATTGAAAATGTTTCATATGGGTATGAAATTTTGTCATACCTTCTGTTTTACTGAGATGATTGCATGTTAACTGTCCTTTATTGTATAAGAAATGTTATTATATTAATTGATTTTCAGATGTTAAGCCATCT